TTGTATTCAAACAATGGTTTGGTTTTTATGAGCATTTCTATCGTTTCAAAAAAAAAAAGGTAGGCAAAGTATAATTTTTCTAAATTAGAGCAAAATAGAGCTTCACCTGATCAAACCATCCAAAAGCTCCTTTTGTTTTGTGCACCCCAACCGCAATCCATGGGCTCCTCCAATGGCGATGGCTCTGCCTACCCGCCGCAATCCTACCAAAACATCGCCCTAATGCGCCACGGCAACAGGCTGGACAACTTCGTGCCCCTCTGGAAGGCGTCGGCGCCGCTCCCCTGGGACCCACCGCTGGTGGATGACGGCAGGGTCCGGGCGTTCAGCATTGGCGAGAAATTCCGGAAGCAGCTCGGCTTCCCGACTCACCGCGTTTTCGTCTCCCCCTTCCTCCGCTGACTTCAGACCCGCCGCCGAGGTCGTCACCGCTTTGTGCGCCGTCACCAGCAACTCCGACGATCCGAACGACGTGACATCGAGCGGCGTCGTTATTGATCCGTTCACAGTCAAGGTCAGCCTCCCAGCATTGCACGCGTGTTGATTGGGTCCTATCCTAAATGCACGCATCTGTAGTGTAAAACGAAAATATTTGTGTATTGTTGTTATGTTGTAGCCGCTGCTGTCACTGTGAATAATGCTGAAGGTTTGCTTGATAATCTGGTTTAACCGTTTAAAATTCATCGAATTTGAGTTGGATGTTTTCGTATTATCAACTGAATTACTATTCCACTCCCTGTATGTTTTCGCGCTTATCAACTAAAATCCTTTTACATATTTGGAGGTCTCATTCGAATACGGGTTGTCCGAGATGATGAACTCCTTGGCCATAAGAGATCCTGTGGCTCCAAAAGATGGGATTTTTACCTTTTCAATCTCGGAGTGTGAAGCTGTTTTAACGGCTGGAACAATTGATAAAACCGTTGAAATGGTTTATAAGGAGGTGATTTTACCATGAACCCTTGGAATGTAGCGGTATCCAATATATAATCTTGCAAACTTCAAGTTTAAAATGTGCTAAAAGTGGCTTTCTGTGTTTGTGCTGTAGGTTCCACGGTGGCAAGAGACGGCAGACGGTGGCAGGGCTAGATATCTTGAGGTCGTCAAGACTCTTGCTGACAAACATCCTTCAGAAAACTTGCTGCTAGTAACACCTGGTAAAGCTAGTCATATCTAAAACAATAGCTACAGCACTCTCAAAGTTGAGCGATTAATGATAACTGCAAATGCTATCATTGATATTTATTATCAATTTTCTATAATGCACGGTGCATTTATCATTTGTGCTTATTATTACTTTCAGGGGAAGGAGTTGGATCAGCTGTTTCTGGATGTTTGCCAGATTTTATGGTATTTGAAGTCGACTATTGTGCGCACTCAGTGCTGCGTAGACCCATGATGGCTTTGGGTGAAAATCAGTCGTTTACGGTCTTGGGGTCACCCAAAGGCCTCTCTGGTATTGCATTGGCAAAAGTACCCGAGGATCCTGGTCAAAGCTCCATTTAAAGCGACCCAAGCCCGCTTGCTCATTTATCTATCTTGAAGCATGATAAGAACAATAATAGCTTCAGGAAGACATAAGGATTAGAATCTTTGTTATTTTAATCTTCTGTTCCCTTTAACCTCATATGATCTGTAAACTAAATGATGAAAACCTAAAAACGATTTTAAACAGCCATTGGAATTCATTTAAGTGCAGCAAGAAATACACACTTGTGCAATGAATAGGAATCCACTTTCACAGTCATACAGTAAACGAAGTAACAGAAAACACGAATCATATCAAACAGATGCGTCTGAAAATGCCTGAAGAAAGTTTGACCCTACTCACGACCACTCTGAAGGGCTCGGTATGTGATCAAATATGTCGATCGGTGGGAAACCATCGATGAAACAGCTGATGTCTGGGCCCATCACGGGCCCGCACGGGTTCTCGAACTCGTCCAGAAAATTGGGCTCCCCGAGCCGAGTGATGATGTCCTCTTGGCTCTCGAGCGGCAAAGGGAATTCAGGCTGGACTTGCAGGAATGCAAGATCATGCGGCTGTTGTTGGTCAGGGATTATTGTCGGTTTCTTTTCGGGTTGGCCATAATCGAGATGAAACGGGTCGTAAATGAGTGTGTCCGGGTAAGCAAAAGGCACCATTTTTGCCATCTCTGAGTTGGCTATGCTTGATGACGGGCAAGGTTGGGGCTTGGCCGCTATCGGTTGTTCCTCTGGTGATGAACTGAGCTTGGGGGCCTGTAGAAGTTGAAAGGCAACAAATTTATAAGCTGAATTCTATCATGTGAAGTTCTTGAAATCATTCTCTCTCTATTTTTTTTAAACAAAAAAAAAAAAAAAATTGACTCATTTACCTCTAGAGCAGGAATGCTGAGATAGGAAATGGGGGGCTGGGACCGAACGGCTGTGTTCTTTCGAGGCTTGGTGGACGACGAAGATGATGATGATGATGGCACAGTATTAGAAGTGTTGTGGAGCATTCTAGCTAATCTCTTCTGCCTGCTGCTCCAAAAGTTCTTCACATCGTTGTCTGTTCTCCCCGGCAGATAGGTCGAGATTCTTGCCCATTTGTTCCCAAATTCGGCTTGCAGTTCAATCACTATTCTTTCCTCCTCGGCCGAAAACTTCACCCCACTGCAATAAACGAATAATCAGATAAACACAAAGACGTCACACACACACACACACACACACACAATCGAGTAAAGATACGAGCCAAACAAAACTTGAAATCTATGCAAGACTGCAAAGCAAACAAAACTTCAAACTCAAAAACAATAATTAAAAAGGAAGCATTTTTTACACAAAAATAAAAAAGAAACAAGCAGAAAGCGCGCCTCAAGCAAGTTAAAATACATAAACTAAAAACAAAAAACAAAAAAAAATAAAAAAATAAAAAGAAAAAATCAACACATTGAAACACAGGCAGAAGTGCGAAAACAGAGACGCCCCGAACTAATCCCCCAACACAAACACAAAACACACAAAAAGGAAGCATTTTTACCCAAAAAAAGCTCGCATTTGTTTTTTACACAGCACTCACGTTTTCAAGTCGGGTCGGAGCTTGTTGACCCAACGGAGGCGGCACGATTTTCCGGTGCGCCTCAACAGGCCTTTGGATCGAATGGAGCTCCAGTCCCTCGGCCCGTGCTTCCTCACGTGGTTAATCAGAACTTGGTCCTCTTCAGCCTTCCATGGCCCTTTCTTTATCTCCCCCATCTGCGACATTCTCCTCCGACCTTCCATAACTCTCCTTTTCAGGGCCCAAAAAACAAAATCAGATGAAGAAATAGCAAAAAAATGGCGGAAATAAAAGAGAAAAAAATGGGAACACAGAGAAGGAATTATGTTGAGTTCGTTCGTGTTGTGAGTGTGTGCAAGTGACGGTTGAGGCGGTTATTGCCATTTGCCACTATCTCTCCCACTAATTACCCCCTTTTATCCCCAAATTCTTTCAAAATTTCAATTTAGGCCCACGATTTTGTGATTTTTTATCTAAGTGGGCCGAAATATGGGCTGAGGCTGATGATTCAAAATACATTTATTCAGGTCCAAGAGTTTGATTTGTTGATGGGTTGGAATCGGATGTTCTACAATTGGTCTCTGAACTCGACCGGCTCGGCCCAAGGGGTCGATCTAGAGGTGGGACCGGGTTTGCGAATCCTTCGGAGTGGTTAGCAAAACGATCAAATCCAACCAATATTTTGTTTTTCGGCATTTAAGATATTTTTATTTTAAGAAAATTACATAGATATATTTATGGTAAATTTCTATAACGAGATAAAATGTTTAAGGAGTAAAATTTGCATATAAATTATTTATTTTTATTATTTTATGTATATTTATAAATAAAAATAATATATATAGTTATACATTTAGAAATGTTTAAGGAGTAAAATTTGAATATAAATGATTTATTTTTATTATTTTATGTATATTTATAAATAAAAATAATATATATAGTTATACATTTAGCAATTAACCCGATGGCTCGACAGTAAATCCCTACACTGAGGTCGGCTCATCAACTAGAAGTCAGATTTGAAAGCATTGAATTCTAGTTGTTATGTTATGGATATTTTGTTTTAAGATAAGTTTCATATTTGGTACCCAAAGTATGCCCGAATATCAGCTTTGGTACCTATCCTATCACGAGTTTAACTTTCACTAAACAAATTAATACCCAGAGTTAACAGCCCGTTAAATCTTAACGGGAGTAACTAACACTATCCACTCGGCATTTTGCCCCAATTCCCAGAATCATATTGCACTCTCTCAAGTTTATCAATTTTTTTCTAGTGGCCCGAAAATTATTAGCTTTGATCTTAGACACATTTCTGGATCTAAGCATATTTAGCGTGTTTGTTTTTAAGATTTTTCAAAAAAAAAAAA